AATGCAGCCTAGTAGTAGCACAGTGCAGCGTAGTAATAACACAGTGCAGCCTAGTAGTAGCACAGTGCAGTTTAGCAGTACCACAGTGCAGTTTAGTAGTGGCACAGAGCAGCCTACTAGTGCCACAGTGCAGCCTAATAGTAGCACAGTGCAGTTTAGTAGTAGCACATTGCATCCTAGTAGTAGCACAATGCAGCCTAGTAGTAGCACAGTGCAGCCTAGTAGTAGCACAGTGCAGCCTAGTAGTAGCACAATGCAGCCAGGTTGTAGCAAAGTGCAGCCTAGTAGTAATACATTGCAGCCTAGTAGTAGCACAATGCAGCCTGTAGTAACACGACGCAGCCTAGTAGTAAAACAGTGCAGCCTAGTAGTGGCAAAGTGCAGCCTAATAGTAGCACATTGCAGTTTATTCGTAGTTCAATGCAGCCTACTAAGAGCACAGTGCAGTCTAGTAGTAGAACAGTGCTGTTTAGTAGTAGTACAGTGCAGCCTAGTAGTAGCACAGTGCAGCCCAGTAGTAGCAAAGTGCAGCCTAGTAGTAGCACAGTGCAGCCTAGTAGTGGCAAAGTGCAGCCTAATAGTAGCACATTGCAGTTTAGTCGTAGCACAATGCAGCCTACTAAGAGCACAGTGCAGTCTAGTAGTAGAACAGTGCTGTTTAGTAGTAGTACACTGCAGCCTAGTAGTAGCACGGTGCAGACTAGCAGTAGCACAGTGCAGTTTATTAGTAGCACAGTGCAGCCAAGTAGTAGCACAATGCAGGCTAGTAGTACACACAGTGCAGTTTAGTAGTTGCAAAATGCAGCCTAGTAGTAGAACAATGCAGCCTAGTAGTAGCACAGTGCAGTTGAGTAGTAGCACAGTGCAGTTAAGTAGTAGCACAGAACAGCCTAGTAGTAGCACAGTGCAGCCTAGTAGTCGAACAGTGCAGTTTAGTCGTAGCACAATGTAGCCTACTAAGAGCACAGTGCAGTCTAGTAGTAGAACAGTGCTGTTTAGTAGTAGCACAGTGCAGCCTAGTAATTGCACAGTGCAGCCTAGTAGTAGCACAGTGCAGTATTAGCAGTAGCACAGTGCAGTTTAGTAGTAGCATAGAACAACCTAATAATAGCACAGTGCAGCCTAGTAGTAGCACAGTGTAGCCTAGCAGTAGCACAGTGCAGCCGAGTAGTAGCACAGTGCAGCCTGGTTGTAGCACATTGCAGCCTAGTAGTAGGACAATGAGCCTGTAGTAACACAATGCAGCCTAGTAGTAGCAGAGTGCAGCCTAGTAGTAGCACAGTGCAGCCTAGTAGTAGCACAGTGCAGTTTAATAGCAGAACAATGCAGCCTAGCAGTAGCAC